CATCATATTAGGATTTGGACGTGGCGGCGGCTACTGTGCTTTCACCACTATTGGGTAGGAATCGAATTTTATTGTTCCCCACAGACGGCGCCAATATTACGATCTGATAGATCGATATGTCCAATCAGAGATTAATAATTTCATATTGGATCTGTTTGTCCTCTCTCAGGTACCTATAAGAGAGGTACCCTACAGATAAACGAATCACTGTGCACTATAATATAACGACATAGTCAAGACGTGAGGTGTGTGCAGAGTGACAAGTTAAGAGAGAGGGTTCTGAGTGTGTGTACCTCATTGGTTTAACCCTTTATTTATAGATGGGTTACCTGGCATGAGCGGATTTTTGGGCTTCTTAGGAGTATTGAGGGTCTAATTGTTGATTTATTTCTGCGTAGTAGGATTAGTATAATTAAGAAATATTCTCTTAATTCTCTCTTAGCAGTTAGCCCTATTTGGGCCTTCTAGAATATGGGCTGTGTAACATCCCCGTCTTGAGCCGGTTCAATTAACATGCATATGATATAAACAGAAACAACGGAAGACTCAACTTACGAAAATACGAGCTAACTTTTTCTTTTTCTTTTTAAATTCTCATTTGACGTAAACAAAAATCGGACAGAGTTTCCTCTATAAATCGGACAACTGGGGATTTTCCAATCCCACTCAGAAGCATTTCCTGATAAACAGTTTATACAGAACATCAATTCAGAAGTACCAGTCATGCAATTATAATCAGATACCCATTCATGGGCGCATGCATAACTTGGCTCAGTGCCGCAAATCTAACAGCATGCAATCCAATACATAAACATAAATGAATACTACATAGTCATATCAACATGCCTGAATACAAAAATGTACATGCATCAACTGAAAGACATGTACAAGACATATACAGGCCATATCCACAGTAAAGGATCTAACATCATGATCCATCAAATAAGAAAATACGAAATACATAAATGCATTCCAAAAAGTAGTAGCCTACAGCCACTCAAAATCCGGTCCGTCGAATGTCTCAGCCACGTGTCGCGTCCCTACCTAATGAGGGCTCACTGGGAGTCTGGGAACCTGAAAATATGTCCCCAAAGAGGGGTGAGATTACCAATCTCAATAAGCTCCAGGTTTATAGAGAATTCTCCATACCCCTAGCTCACTCCTGCATGAAAGTCAGATACAAAGTATACAAATACAACATATAGCAGATATCATAACAGAAGAGAGCATATATCCATATCATATCGGAGGTGTGCGCCGTCATTCCTAAGGGAGGACCCCAAGCAAAAATTAACGCACGTGTTCCCAATGGAGGACCCCAAGCGGAACCAGCAGAGGCGTGCGCCGTCATTCCCAAGGGAGGACCCCAAGCGGAAATCAACGCACATGTTCCTAAGGGAGGACCCCAAGCGGAACCAGCAGAGGCGTGCACCGTCATTCCCAAGGGAGGACCCCAAGCGGAACCAGAACATGCAGAGGTGTACATCGTCAATCCCAGGGAAGCCCCAAGAAGACATCAGTGTACCATATATCAATACAGAAATTATATCAGATCAAGTCATATCATGTTATCAAATAACTCTATATGAATGCATCTATACAACGTATCATATCAACAGTCATACATTCCAACCACAGTCCATTAACTATGGTGGAGCACTCGAGCAGGAAAAGACTCCTTAAACATAGAGCTTACTTCTTGAAGCTTTATCAATCTGCTTACTTGTGGCACAAGTTACTTTTATAACTTCAAGAGATTTCGATCCTTTTCAGTCCCTAGGCGCACCTAGAGGAAGAATCCAAAATACAAATCAATAAAATGCTATCATGCCTAGATTTTCCATAAGGCATACATTTTATCGCTTATCTTCTTTTCTTTATATTTTTGCCAATGTTATGCCAATACACAAGTCTAGGCCACTTATACTAATTAGCGTTCTTAATTTAATCAAGTGTTCACTTGAGAATTTTCAACATAATTCATGTCATTTTCTTTAAAAGGCCTTGGACCTACACTTAGGAAATCAAGATATTTTTCCATAATTTCCTTTCAAACCATTTCACTTCATAATCTTATTAATTTCATGTATTGAAAGCTCAACATTTTAACAAAATAAAACATAATTTAACCATCCTTAATTTACCCTATAAGGTCGAAATCCATAAAAGAGAAGCCAAGGGTTTCTTTCTTTTTTTTTATTTCATTCCTTCACTTAATTTAACAACTACACATACATAATTATATATACATCAAGTTCCAATTTCAATTTTGGAATATCAAACCCCTCAAAAGAACCACAAGGCCGAAACATAGAGGTATGGTTCTTAATGATTTTTCCTCTTTTAAGGATCCTTACTAATTCATCGTTTTTCTACTTATCACAACACTCTACACTTCAAAATACATGAATTACAATTTTTCATATCCTCCCCTCCTCACCTCTCATGGCCGAAACATCAAGGGGATACAACACAAGGGATTTTCTTTTATTAAACACATTAAACATGCTTATTCCACAAGCTTAAATACCCAATATCAAAAATCTACCATCACTTTACCCTTAACTAATTTATTTGTAACTCAAAACATGCTCACAATTTTCTATGACTCAAATCATCAAAATAACATCATGGAAATAAGGGTTTCTTACCACTAATCAACTTCCCAAAGCCTAGAAAGCATCCATCAAGCAAAACTCCACCAAAAATGTCATTTCTCCTCCTTGATGAATAGTGTCACGAAAATGGGGGGAGGAAGAACCCCTCACACACTCAACTATTGCTCAAATTGATCGGTGGAATGATTCATTGAGTGGTTTCTAATCGATTTCATGTGGTGGGTCTTTGAATTTGGAGGATGAATGATGTAGAAATCAAAGAAAGAAAAAACCAAACCCTAAGCCCCCCTTGTCAAAGTGCAGCTCGGTTTTGGAGGAAAGAGAAGAATGGAAAGATGATATGAATAGTAATTTTTTTTTTTTTGTAAGTGACAAGGCTTTATAACACATGTGACCTTTTAACAGATATTTTTCTTTCGCATATTTTCACTTAAACTGACCCGGAACTAACTCAAAGCTACGAACATATTTTTATTTTTCTAAAGTTATTTACATTAATTTTTATTTCCTAGAGAACAATATTCGTAATTCACAGTATGGTTTCAGCACCGTTTTTGACGAAATGCACTGTGAACCACTAACTGTACTTTGTTTATTTATGAAACTTAAAACTTATAAACTTATCATTTTCTTGGGCCTATATTGACTTGCTTGGCATATATTGGCTTTCTTATTCTTATTTCATCAATTATGTGTTTCTGAACTCTACTGGCTGCTTAAACAGCAGTACAAAATACCTGGCAGAAAACACTATTCACGAGATTTTCACGGAAAGTGTCAGACTATACAATTTTTCGTTTTGAACTCATAAATGGAGTCAGAATTTTCAAATTATGTCTCTAAAATCATTTAACTCATTTTAGCTCTACCGATTAATTCACAAGACTGCAAATTCTCCGGCAGAACGCACTGTTCATAACCTAGTCATGATTACAGTCAAAATACTCGAAATCACTCACTGAATCTAATTATGGCATTTAAATCCTTAAATTAAATCTCTAATTAAGATTTACCATATAAGGTCATTATAGGCTGCTTAGCTGTTTGGATAGGATCGTCATTAATAGAAGATTCTCTTTCTGTTTGTGCTGTCTTTTATTGGACCTTCTAGAATATAGGCCTTTGTCAAGTTCATAACACTTGGGTATAAGCATGTTAACATAGTAGAAGCAACATTAAATGGCACACACACATATATATATATATATATATATATATATATATATATATATATAATCCCAGGGGTGTCACAATTGGTAATTGGACTGATTGAAATTTTAATCCCAAGGGGTGTCACAATTGGTAATTGGACTGATTGAAAGATTACTGGTTTGATTCCTAGTGATACACTTTTGAGCCAGTAATAAAAACTTTTAATCTTTATGCCACAAAAGAGATTAGTCTCATTTAAATGGGTGAAGACATGCCTAAAAAAATAGGTTTTTTTAGTTTCTTGTGCTTACATGCTTAACTCAGTTCGCAGATCTAACTAACGTGAATGAGGACGGACTTAGAGACGAGGCTAAGCATCAAACAAAACTGAAGGATTTGCAAGTTCAAAGTACTAAGAATTGAAGGAAACATGAGTAGTAAGTATAGTAGCTGTAACAAGTAACTAGTTGATCAATTCAATATTCATGGGTCATGACTCATGAGTTGGTGCGCAACACTCACTCTCCAATCAGATTCTATATATCTCATTCATTGCATGTAATAGGAAAGGGTGGATGCAACAGGTGGAAATGGAACAAATGAAACCGACTGGAAAGGGGACTGTATCATGAAACTAAGGGAAAAGACAAGGCGACCAAACCAATCCTAATATGTGTTTTCATGCATGGCACCCTACACCACACGCGTTATGATGCCAGGCCCTTTAAGCATAATAACCCTGCTCTTCTCTCTTCCCTCTTCTTAAATGGGTTGAGACCATTACCTTTGACAAAATCGCTCATATTCCCATTCTACCACACCCTGTCCTTATCCAATAATATTATGTGTAACCATGCATGGACCCACTCCTTCTGCCCAATCACCACATGTCCTCTTTCATGAGTCTCGCCAACACGTACCCACCATACAATAACAAGTGTCTTTTTCTCCTTCCTTCTTGTTTCATGTTGCCCTCCTCTCATTGGCTACTATTTCTCAAAACTCAAAACCCCTCAAAACAAAAAGTCATCTCCTTTGTATCAAAAAAATAAAAATAAAAATTCATCTCCTTAACCTTAACAAAAGTCTCTCCTTTATAACTCTTCCCCCTTACCCTCATTGTGGCATCCCCACCATCTGCATGTGTCCCATTGCACTAGTCAATAGCAAGGTTGGTTTAGTTTGGTTTTGGGTTTTTGGGGGCTTACTCAAGAAATCAGAGGTGCCACCATGATCAAGACCTTAAATCCTTATCCCAATTCAGTAAAAACAGCTGAAATTATGTCAAGGTACAGGCCAATAGCTCCAAAGCCTGAGTCTTCATCTGATTCCTCCCTCTCCCTAAAGATCAAACAGTCTCCTTACCTAAGGAATCTGTGGCCACAGTTGCAGGAAAGGCCCACAAGGACCAGAAAGAGAGGTAGAGCTTCTATTGCTCTACCCTCTTCTCTCAAGAGACAGAAGACTCATGTCTTAGGATTTTGTTCCCCTTGTCATATAACATCTCCTGCAAAGAACCTTTCTTTACACAGTTTTGCTCCTCCTTCTCCCCTTCCTCAACAACTCCCTCTTCCTAACCATGGACTTGGGGTGCTTAATTGTAGCAGCTTGGAAAACACTACTGCCACCAATCCAAGTTTAGTAACACTTCCACTTCTTCCATGTTCTCCTTCTGCTACAATCCTCAGTGAACAAGGCCCTGCACCCAAATTTGACTTAACCATGCCTCGTAAAGAAGAGGTTATCGATTTCAACACTAAAGTAGAGATTCCACAAGAAAAGGATCTCTTGCAGCAACTGCAAAAACCAGCTACCAACAATGTTATAGCACCTCAACCAGTTCGCCCCATTTGTTCCTGCATAATGGTTGGGTGCATTAATGAAAACTCAACCTTGCCATCAATGTCTCATGCCCCCAAAAAACCAGAGGAGCTTGAGGAAGAGGTTGAATCTGAGGCCTTGCCAGCTGTTATATCAGACTCAAAAAACAGAGTTAGGATGGCGAATTCTGCATACAAGGAGATGGTGGGTCAACCTGAGTGTCCTTGGCTTGAATCCATGGTTAATTGTGGTGGTGATGGAAGGCTTCAATGTCTTTCATCATGCAAGAGGATCAGTGGAGAGATAACACTACATCTTTGTGATTCAAGTATACCACTTTCATCAAATGGTTTTTCATGCTGGGTGACGATAGAATGGCAAACTCAACACAAGAAGTGTTCGGTCAATGCTTTCTGTGATGTTATTAAGTTGTCATGCGAATCCAGGGACTACCACTTCACATGGAGGTTCCACACTCGTACTAGGGAAGCTTCTCAATCAAGTTGCAACACTTGAAATGTTTTAGTTACTGCACTTGAGTGAGTCTAGCTGCTAGATACATATATATGTATATATAGTTATAGAGTATTAGGGATCAAGTATATAGTTTTTCTAAGTTTCTTTAACTAAAATGTCTACAAGACCTTGTGCTCAAAATATGTATTAAGGACCGAGCTATATATTTACTATATAATTTAATTTCCATATGCATAATTCACCTTTAAAGAGTGGCGTGTCACGCCTCTTTACATGCACAGAAATCCTATGAGATCACTAGGAACAAAGAAAATAATCTAATTAATTATATCGACGTATGTAATGCCGTCGAGTTCAATTAGTTTATCAATGAAAAGCTTACGGCTTCGCATATAAGGAATATATTATTAGAAGAAAAATAAAATAAAATAAAGGTTTTCTATTGCACACTTTACACTTCCTCGATCGTATCTCCTTTGGTAAACTCAAACGTCTAAAAGGACCATAAAATAATGGGTTCAGGTGCAATTTATCTGCATACAGTGCATTTCCAACCCTGGTTTAAGCTTATGAAACTACTTATAAAAGAAGAAAACTGCTTAGTTTTTTTATGCTAAATCAGAAGAAGAAAACTAGAGTATTCGGCAAAAACCGCCTCTCTGGATTTTATGCTAAATCAGAAGAATACTTAAGAAAGTTTCATAATGATTGACAAAGTAATATACTTTTAAAAAATTAATATTAAAAAATAGTTTAAAAATTATTCACCAAAATAATATAATTCGATCACGAGTCCCACAAACTTTATATATATCATTTCAACTGCAATAGTCAAATTATATAACTTTAATAAATAATTTTTAAATTGTATTATTTTAATTTTTTTAAAAAGATTATATCAATTTAATCAATAAGTCAAAACTTGAGAGCATTTTCAGCATGAAATAACTAAACGAATGAATCAAGACAACTTTTAATCGTCGGAAGTATTGCCAATATATAGCTCCAATTGTCATATTTAGAAAGTTAGCTTCTATTGTGCAATAAAACAAAATTTGGAACTTCTAAGAGACCCACACAGCTGTCCTTGTGTGGTAAATGGTTGTGTATACTTCCAAAAGTTCAATACAGATTAATATTGGATATAGAAAGTGTAATTTTCAATGTCCCAACTCTGGCTTAGCGTTGTTTTGATGCAACATGGTGAGCGGAGTGTATGACAAACTGGCATAGAAAAACATGGATTAAAGTTAAATCGATGTAACCATTAAACAAAGGCAACAACAATGGTTTGAAACAATAACACATCAATTAGAAGCCAGCTGATAAATTCTGTAACAATTTAGACTCATAAAAAAAAACCGTTAGAACAAAAAAAACAAAATGCAGGTGTAACACCTCATTCTAGAACCGGTTTGTTAACATCAAAATGATATTAAGCGCAACATGTTTAATTAGTTAAACGCGGAAGCTTGCTTTATAGTTCACTACTAGTCTTAACATAAAAACATGAATAAACTTTTTCTTTCTTATATCACTACAAAAAAACAGGCATTTTGCGGCGGTTCATTTGTGGTATACGCGACGGTTACAACCGTCGCTAAATGCATTTTTGCAATTAGGGGCAGTTGTAACCGTCGCGTATACCAAAAATGAACCGCCGCTAAATGCCTGTTTTTTTGTAGTGTATATTGCAATTAGCTAATTATTTCTTGTTCCATTAAAACTATTTGATACCTTCTTGCATCTCAATCTTTTTAAAATAAATCTGACGACATTCTGTCTGTAATTCAGACATCTAGGGATAATTTTCACTGTCCCAACATCACCTGATAGACAGTATATCTCATTTCTTCAATCTAGAATCCATCCATGGATTGTATATTAAAGTCTCCATGCCAATGACTTATTAAACAATCCTTGCCAATTCAAGGCTCAAGTATCTACTCCATACAATTAGCAGGCAGGCAAATACAACTCATATCTTGTATAAATTTGCACATGCTTCTCTAAACATAATATACAAGTTTTATGCACATAGGCATAGACACCCTCTACGCTCTCTAAAAGAATAACATGACATATACATCTCAAATGATAATAAAACTCATGAATCATGCCATGTAAACATCAAAATAAAGTCTATAATCTCATGTCACTTTATTGTCTTGGCCTCCTGCCATGCGATGCCTCAACACCATCGATCTCTACCTGAAATGTAAGTCCCCAAACAGAGTGAGATCAGCCATCTCAGTAAACTAGGAGTCCTTGGAAGGCTCCTCCACCCCTAAGTCCATTTCAGGTATAACCATAGTGTATAAATCATGTATGCATCAGAATATGTATATCAATGCATGTGTGTAATAATGAATCCTACTGGCCAGAGAATACAACATGTATGCATTATGTAGGGAATCACTGTCCTATAACATACCAAGTGTAAGGAATCACCATCTTACACTACGCGTAAGGAATTACCGTCTTACACCTCACACAAGAAATCATCGTCTTGTGTGGCACACAAACAAGCATACATACATATACATGCCACAAATCATAACATTTCACAAAAACATACCCTATATAAAACCAACCTCCCTGGGAGTTTGGTGGAACAAAAGGGGGATCAACCCTAAGGACCGAAAGCTTACCTGTCAAAGCAACGTCCTCCAATGTACTCCTTGTATCCAAGACAACCATAGGGTCCACACTAGTTTCTCACTAGTACCACCTATCACAAGGTTCAAGTATGAATAATAACACAAATCATACCATAATTATAAAACTAGTAATTACAAGTATCATTATCACTACTTACTATTCATACTCATTATGAATCTATATTACTTGCAATATCATTATCACTAATTAACCTATGGTAATGTAGAAATCTTTTTCTAGCACAATAGAGTCCATGACTGCTTTCACTGAAGAATAATCCAAGAAATAAACTCTATTGTCTAGCTTGGCACTAAACTGCTCTCACCATTTTTCAAAACTGGTATTAAATTACCTTCTCATTAATTTTAAGATTTTACTATGTTAAACTGAACATCTTGACCTTTCCAACGACATATTATATGCCTCGATTGAACTTATACAACTCAAGATATATTTGTCACAAACTGATTGCTTCAAATTGAATTTTTAGCAACATGGCTGCAACTTTCTCAATGAAACTTCTCTTAATCCACTTACCCAATGGTTCTAAGATTTTATAGGGTTATAGCCCTAAGTGTTAAACTTCATATAGGTCCAAACCGCACTCAATTTGGAGTTCCCTAGCTCTAGTATATCCATGTTTTATCATGTTATCCTCATTACAGCAGTAGGGATTCAGATCCCTTTGAGAAGGATTCGAATCCCTTCCTCACATAAGCTAATTTTCATCATTTTAATAGTGGGGATTCGAATCTGTCGAAAAAAATTCGAATCCTTCCTAGACAGGCCAAAACAACAATTTTTTCTTGCATAAATGGTCACTTAACCCAGGAACTCAACTCTCCCATTAACCTAACATGCATTTCTATACATAGTTTCATACTTCAATCTTTCATTCATACAAAACCCCAATTTACATAACCCTAAATCATACTATTTCCATAAATCAACAAAGGGGATGTATTTACCTTGGAGGCTTCAACAACCGAAAAGAAAGGTAATCTAAGCTTCCAACACCCTTGTTCTTCCTCAGCTCATGACCAATCCAAAAATAAACCCTCTCCAAGTGGGTATTTCTTTCTCTCAAACTCAACTACCAAGTGGGAATGGTGAATGAGAGTGAGGGAGAGGAGATTTATGAGTGATTTTTCTTGTTTTCCTTAGGAAATAAGTGGAGCTCAAAGATGGAGAAAAATGAAAAACCCTCTTCAGCTATGGAGAAGCATTCGGCAGACGAAGAAGAAAACGAGAGAGAGAGAGAGAGTTTGTGTTTTCTAACACTTTAAGTGAGTTATATTAACAAAGTGGATACCAACTTATCTATCTCGTTCACTCAACTCTGATCATTTCAAACTTGACATATTGAATTAAGATATTTTTTGTGGTAATAATTATTATTTTACTTTTAACTTTCGGGTAACTTTGTCTAGCTACATTTTTATCCCATAACTGTCATTATTTAACCTTTTCCACAAGTTAATTTTAATTCTTCTAATTAGGCCTCTCATCTAATTAATTCTTTATTAATTAGAATTATTCCTTAATACACTAATAATTTCATAATGTACAGGTTGTGGGCAATATATATGGCAGAACTTCAAGGTTTGAGCAAAAGCAAAATTATATATAGCAATATTAGAAGAGCATCAATAAACAACCAGAACTATTAAACAAAATTAGTGTGGGCGTTCCTATAGGGTATTCTTTCTTAATAAAATAGGTAGCATGGTATATAATAGACAGAAAATCAAACAAAAGAAAAAGGATTATTAGAACCCATTTCGGCCGTCAATGTCAGCGTGATTATAATTATCAAAAAGGTTAAACCGTGTGAGTTGGGCCCAACGACCAATGAGGACACCGGCTTTGCATATTCTGAGTGCCCAGTTGTCGTTTTGTTTGTTTCCTATAAACGCATGCCATTTGTGTCCTTGTTCACATCGAACCATACCCTTTCAACAATACACTCTCTTTGTGTGTGTGTGTCTCTCTCTCTCTCTCTCTCTTCATGTATATATTTATAAACCTGAAACTGAAACCTTGAAATGAAATGCTCAACGACAATGGCATTGTTGGTGGCATCCAAAACTAGTGATTTCGAAGATCCAATGCTTGTCAAGCTTGAGTCAGCACGTTCTGATTTAGAAGCTCTCCTTCGAGCTTCAGAGGAAATGGAAGAAAACATGGGAATGATGGAGACAAGGTTTGATCTTTTACAAGGATCATTGTCTACAGCATCAAGAAGAATCACCCCTTTGCAATCCTTGGCCATGTCAAGGAAAGCACTTGATACAAGAATCAACAGAGCCATTTCTCCTGCTCTTGCACTCATTGACACCTTCAAGCTCACAGAGTCTCTACAGAACAATCTTCTTGATCTCTCATCAAAACTATCAGCGGAGAAGACACAACCAAAACGGCTCCAGAAGCTTCTCGATTACATGAATTGCGTGGATCAGTTAAACGAGGCCATTAACTCCATATGCCAAGAGGTTGAGCCAGTGATACAGAGGCTTCAGGAGGTGGTGGAGTTCATAAGCAGAACAAAGGCTGCGGATCAATACAGAACACAGAGGCTACGAGAGGCACTTATCACTCTCAAAGCACTTTACGAAACCGAAGTTGATGGCATGAGATTTGAGGGTTTGCTAGACCAGGCTTTGCTTCATATGCAGGATGAGTTTGAGGCTTTATTACTGAAAATGAAGCATCGGAGCCTAGAAGATATGTCACGCGAACATGCTGATAATGACACTGACCATGTCAAGGTTGGCTGCGAATTGGGCTCAGAACTGGAAATTGCAGTCTTGAGACGAATTTCATCCACTCTTGCTGCCAATGATTGCCTAGATATATGTATTGACATCTACCTCAAGGTAACCTTCGATCATGAATATTCTTGTAATCACACGCACATAAGTCTTTCTTCTTATCTCAACCTTTGATATCTGTGCATTTGATGACCCTATTTTATAAGGGATTAGTAATTATAAATGAAGATAAACAGTTGAGATGAGTACTAAAACCATTTATTTTTAGGGAGATGATTTTATGTTGGAGAAAATCATCTCCAGCTACCCTCACAATATTTTTTTTAAATTTTTTTATTTATTTATTTTTTTAATATTTTTCTTCTACCTCAAAGTAAGTGAGAACCTATAAAGATAAATAATAAAAAAAAGGGAAAAAGTGGGGGGAGTCTATCCACTAACACTCAATTTTGACTTTGGAATCAATATTTATTTTTTTAAAGAACATAAAATTGTATTATTTGAAACGAGAGAAAGAGATATACGGTGAAAATCATGGAATGAAAGTGAGAAGATTTTTTTTAATTTAAATTTCAATTAAAAAACACTAATTTTAACTAATAGGACCATCGTTGACGAACATTTTTCCCTTTCAACTTTTTGATACCACAAAATTTTTAATACAGTTGCTGCATACCTAATGCTTGAACCATAAATGAAACAACCCTTTGGTTCACGTGCTTGTATATGCTTTTATATTACCGTGTTTTTATGTTAGAAATACTTATAATCAAAATTTTGATCTAGAGAGTTTTAGGCTAATCCGAATTTGGAAATAATGATTAATGTTTTAATCATTATTTTTGTGTTGATGATTGAACAGGTAAGATATAGAAGGGCTGCCAAAGCACTAATGAAGCTAAACCCTGATTACCTGAGAACATATACACCAGAAGGAATCGATGAAATGGAGTGGGAAAGCTTGGAAACAGGGATAACCCTTTGGATCCAACACTTCGAAGTAGCTGCAAAGAAAGTTCTCCTCTCAGAAAAGAAACTCTGCGAAAGAGTTTTGGGTGAAATCATGGACGGACTAGTCTGGCCAGAATGCTTCGTGAAAATATCAGACAAGATCATGGCCGTGTTCTTCCGGTTCGGAGAAGGTGTTGCCAGAAGCAGCAAAGAGCCTCAGAAGCTGTTCAAGCTATTGGACATGTTCGAATCCTTAGAGAAACTCAAACCCGAGATCTTTGAAATCTTTGATGGCGAAGCTGGTGTTGATATCTGCACGCGGTTCAGGGAGCTTGAAAAGCTCATAATCGATGCTTCAAGCAAAGTTTTCTGGGATTTTGGTTTGCAAATAGAAGGGAACACTGATGGCATTCCACCCCCACAAGATGGTTCCGTTCCAAAACTAGTAAGATACGCCATTAACTACCTCAAGTACCTTGCCACAGAGAATTACAGAACAACCATGGTTAAGGTTCTCCGAACAGAACAAATATGGAAAGCTGGGATATTATCCAAACCTGAAACGGACGAGAATTTGTTAAAGCATGCCATTTGCAATGTCATGGAAGCACTTCAAAGAAACATCGAGTCTAAACGTTCTTGTTGTAGGGACAAGGTCATGATTCATGTTTTTACAATGAACACTTACTGGTACATCTATATGAGGACAAAAAACACAGAGCTTGGTGATTTATTAGGCGAGCAATATATGAAGGATGGTTACAAGGCAGTGGCAGAAGAATCAGCTTACATGTATCAGAAGCAAGCTTGGGGAGTTTTGGTGAGGATTTTGGATACAGAGGATATGAGGGAACAAGGGAAGGAAACTATTGGAAGGTTAGTGATGGAAAAGATTGAGGCATTCTTCAAGTGTTTGAATGAGATTTGTGAGAGGCACAGAGGGTGTTATAGTATACCAGATGTTGATTTGAGAGAACAGATAAGAGAAGCAACAATGAAGCTTGTGGTGACAGCTTATGCCAAGTTCTTGGAGTCTTACTCGGGAGTGTTGCAGAGGAAAGGGTATTTGAGTCCTGAGAGGTTGCAAGGGTTGGTTGGGAAGGCTTTTGACGGTGGTGATGTGAAGTTGAAGCGGCGGAGCTCTAATAATGATCGGAATGTTGGACGTAACTCTGCTGCCTCTTTGGAGGGTGATATCATTATCAGGGATTTTAGACGGTCCAGATCAGGCAATGTAGATGTTTGAGGATTTGCTAGATCTGTAGGGGAAAAAAAAAACATATATACGTACAAAGGAATTGAATGTCAAAATTTGTGCACATGTTTATTATCACGTGTGTTTATCTCTTTTTTACTTTGTGACCTTGCCGGATAAATATCTCACCATGTATTCCTCCTCTTATTTTGTTATTTAGGTTTTTTTTTTTTACCTACTTGAATTCAAAACTTGGAAAGTCATGTTTACTATAGCCTGACATTCCGATTGAGCTTGGCGAGAAACTGAGAATGCAACGCAACTAACAGTTAAACTATTAATCTCCTGATGCTCCAGAAAAGTTATCTATTAATCTTTTGATGTTGGAGAAAAGTTATCTCCCACGGTCAGATGCTTCTTAGGATACAGTTTCTTTTAGAATATAGCTTCGTATCCTGAGTTTCGTATCTTGAAAAGTATGTAATTGCTACAGAAAATTTTTCTTTCGCTGCGGCTGAAGAGACATATTTCGCTAACTATAAAGTCACAAATTCATTTTGTTTCCAATAGAATGTAACTTACTATGCTATAAAGTACAAACTCATGAGCGAGTAACAATAACCAAGTTACATCACCACGAGATTTTAAGAAAGGATCCTAAGTTGGATCTTGAAGCTTCATACGCCTATGTTCGGCGTGAACAGCAGCAACGTGTTACCATGAATAGACCTCTCTCCACTAATGAATCATATGCTTTATTTGTTAATTAATTATCTAGTGTGTCAATTCCAAGTAGTGTACAGGAAGCACTTGATGATCCCAACTGGAAGAAAGCAATGAATGATGAGATGGAGGCACTTCAAAAAAATTCAACTTGGGAATTAATACCTCTGCCAAAGGAAAAAAAGACAATTGAGTGTAAGTGGGTATTCACAGTAAAATTAAAGGCAGATGGAAGTATAGACCGGTACAAAGCAAGACTAGTAGCCAAGGGATATACACAAAAGTATGGGATTGACTATCAACAGACGTTTGCCCCTGTAGCCAAACTCAATACTATAAGGATTTTACTCTCACTAGCAGCGAATAGGGATTGGCCCTTGAAACAGTTTGATGTAAAGAATGCTTTCTTAAATGGTGACTTAGAGGAGGAAGCTTACATGGATATACCACCAGGAGTGAAACTAACTCAATCAAATGGAGATCTAGTTTGCAAGCTGAAAAAGGCCTTATACGGACTCAAGCAATCACCAAGGGCATGGTTTGGGCGCCTCTCCTTAGCAATGAGAAAGTTTGGGTACAAACAGAGTAATTGTGATCATACTCTGTTTTATAAACATAGAGCAGGGAAGATAACTATTCTGATAGTTTATGTTGATGATATGGTACTAACTGGAGATGACATTGATGAGATGAAGTCCCTGGAAAATCGGTTGGCAACTGAGTTTGAAATGAAGGATCTAGGTCCTTTAAGATACTTTCTCTGGATAGAAATTGCAAGATCCAAGAATGGCATATTTCTATCTCAAAGAAAATATATACTAGATCTCTTATCAGAAACCGGAATGCTAGGCTGTAAACCAGCTGAGAATCCCATTGAAATGAATCATATACTTGGAGTGTATCCTGACGAAGTGAAGACTGACATTGGAAGGTATCAATGACTAGTAGGAAGACTCATTTACCTTTCACATACTCGGCCTGACATTGCATATGCAGTAGGGATGGTAAGCAGGTTTATGCACTCTCCTAGTGAAGATCACATGAAGGCTGTATATCGGATTCTAAGGTATTTAAAGGGGTCACCTGGAAAAGGCATTCTGTTTTCAAAAAACAACAAGAAAGACATTGAAGGATTTACTGATTCTGATTGGGCTGGTGATAAAACGACTAGACAATCTACCTCAGGGTATTTTACACTAGTAGAAGGCAATCTAGTCACTTGGAGTAGTAAAAAACAAAAAGTTGTTGCAAGATCCAGTGCTGAGGCAGAATTTAGAGGTATGGCATACTGTGTCTGTGAATTATTATGGATTAAAAATATTCTGAATGATTTGGGAATTAATTATAATCTTCCTATGAGTCTTTACTGTGATAATAAAGCTTCTATTGAAATTGCTCATAATCCGGTTCAACACGATAGAACGAAGCATGTTGAAGTAGATAGACACTTCATAAAAGAGAAACTGGATCAGAAAATTATCACCACTCCTTTCATCAGATCAGAAAACCAACTTGCAGACATCTTGACAAAGGCAGTCTCTGGAAAAGCTCTAAAAGATGCAATCAACAAGTTAGGCATGTATGACATCCATGCACCAACTTGAGGGGGAGTGTTAGATTAGGTAGTTTAAATTTAGAAAGTTGTTGTAACAAAGAATATTTGTTTTTCTGTTTCAGCAACAAAGTATTTGATTCTTTATTTTGTTAGAGGATTTTTAGGAAGTTTAAAATCTTGTTTTGTGTATTTATACACCTCAATTGAAGAGGTAAAGTAATCAATGAACAGAAGTATTTCAGTAGTATCATTTTTTACAGCGAGAAACTGAGAATGCAACGCAACTAACAGTTAAACTATTAATCTCCTGATGCTCCAGAAAAGTTATCTATTAATCTTTTGATGTTGGAGAAAAGTTATCTCCCACAGTCAGATGCTTCTTAGGATACAGTTTCTTTTAGAATATAGTTTCGTATCCTGAGTTTCGTATCTTGAAAAGTATGTAATTGCTACAGAAAATTTTTCTTTCGCTGCGGCTGAAGAGACATATTTCCCTAACTATAAAGTCACAAATTCATTTTGTTTCCGGTACAATGTAACTTACTATGCTATAAAGTACAAACTCATGAGCGAGTAACAATAACCAAGTTACATCACCACGAGATTTTTTTTTTTTTTTTTGGTAATAACATCACCACAAGATTTAATTACTCTTTTCACGGTTTAAATTGAAAAATATTATTAAATGATGATAACTTTTATTGGAGTTATAATTTATTCATATTATCGAACAATTGACTATTTCTTAAATTAGTAGTAATATGTATTAACAATTGACTATTCTTAAATAGTTTTTTAAGGGGGGATATATTGTAACTTCTTCTATTTAACTATAATATAGAGAATATCATATTATGTCTTCATAATAATAAGTAAATAAAGAAAAAGTAGTGTAAATTTTTAAACATCGATTTATATAGCAAACTTTACTTAGTTACTTTATACATAACTTTTAGTCAAGTACATATATTTTATATCCTAAATAATTTATATCAGACTCTACTTCCTAAACTATGTTACATCATTTGAGTACATATATTACATCTTAACTACTTAAAGTTACAAATTATATACTGCTTCAACTTCATTAAAACTATTCTATATGTAAATGCTTTCACTTTATCTTGATAAAACACAACAACCACTTGTTGATTTTCTAATATAAAATAAAACTCTGAATGGTCTTTATAGAAGTAGGTGGAAATTTCCCAATTTTGGCTGGTAAAACATAGACTAGGCATAATGATTCTCTAGAAATGCTAGCACAAACAAAGAAATGTCAGAAAATCTCAGTAATATTGAGGTTTTTTAATTATAATCTTTCTAGCCGTAATAACGGAAAACATAATTCTCTCAAATAAAATAATAACAAATAATAAATTGGATAATATTTAACTGAAGCTAATTAAATCCTCAATTCTGTGAGCCTCTACATGTGAAAAGTTATGTTATGACGGAGCTTGAGCCATGATAAGATATTCTTTATCCTATAACCATTATGATCCCCTTGTGGGTCACCTCAAGGCAGCTTTATAAAGTTAAAATTACACATTCTTTTAGTTTTTATTTGATACCAAATAATTATTTAGTCTGATAATCATTCTTTGAAAAGAAAAAAAATTAGAACTAAATAATAATAAACTAAAGGTACTGTAAAAGAATTTAAAGTTTAAATAAAAGATAATAATAAAATTCCAGAATAAATTCAAACAGAAGAGAATCTAAAGAAAAGAGTTTGGCAAAATAACAACATTATTAAAAGTAATAATCAGTTTTATTAGAATAATTAAGAAGAAGAAAAATAAGAGAAAGTTTTACTCTCTCAATATTACCTTTCTTTGCTAATTCCTCTATTTTCTTTCTCTCTGTTTTGTTTCCTTCTTTCCTCCTCTCACTTTCTTTCTCTCAGTCTCTTTCTTTCCTTTCTTACTCTCCACTTTTGTTTCTTTTCTTTTCGTTTTTTCTTTTTTCCCTCATGTGATAGTGCATATATATATATATATATATATATATATATATGAGATATGATCTTTTGATATCGGTGTCAAACTTTAAAATTTGACACCAAATCTTAACCGTTAATTTTCGCCAATCAACAATTATTATTTATTAAGAACCAAACTTATTAATTAATTATTAATTTTCAACAAAGAAATAGTGAGAACCCACCTGCTCCTCTGAAAAGGTGCTAGAAAAAGACACATTCACCAAGCATACGCAGTGCATGGCAGACAAATGTTTCCTAATACCACATTTTCTGATTCTGGACAATTGGCTCATCCTTGTCTCGCCATAGCCAATAAAGAATTCGCAAGTAAATTCTCCTCCATTCAAGTTGCTCATCACCTTATAAAACTGCCGTAGCGACTCCATCATTGCAGGTAATGTTTAGGAAGCTGATCACATTGTTGATCAAAAATGATGGAAAAAGACGAAGCAAAGAGAAGATAGGAAGAAAGAGAAAGAGAAAAAGTATAGAAAGTTGAACATTATTGTCGTCCATGTAGCGTTTTCGTGATTGTTCTAAAATTTTGAGTTGAACTTTTTGTAAGAAATTTTAAGATGAGATTATATGAAATTAAAACACCAAAAATTTTAGGCTTACTTGTTAAAACAAGACATGATTCTTGATTTCTTGGAGGCTTCTTATTTATGATGCTCCTGCAACGGAAAGACCAGAATTTTCCTCTACAATTTATACCACTCCTTGATCACAACTGTCGATGGGGCGAGTTGTGGAGTGACGGTTTTCCACACACTGTGAATGCAGAGG